AGCAGTCACCAGCCACATCGACCTGATCAGTGTTTGATTGTTGTGTCTTGTTGCTTTTCTTCTTTTGTCTCTCCTCTATCCACTCACCCCAACCGGTCGAGGCAGAAGGCCGCCCACCAAGAGCCGGGGTCTGTCGGAGGTTTCTTCCGTTAAAGGGAGTTTTTCCTCCCCACTGTCACCAAGTGCTTGCTCAAGGGGGATTTGTTGGGTTTTCCCTATGTAATAATATTGATAACAGTAAGGTCTAGACCTTACTTTGTAAAGTGTCCTGGGATGACTTTTGTTGTGATTTGGCGCTATACAAATAAAATTTGATTTGATTTACATTGATACTTAATGGCAATTTGGGGAAATACTGGTGTTCTTGCTCAGAGTTGCCTAAATATGAAGTTAGAGCCAGCAGCTGGCTGACTTGGTGTAAGGACTGGCAGTGTCAGCTAGCCTGGCTCTGTCCACCTACCAGTGCGTTAAAGCTCACCGAACACATTTTACTGTAGCTTGTCTAAGAGTGCTGTTGTATGGAGGGTTATGTACCAAGTTATTCTCAAAGGTTTCCTTTAATGATACTTTGTGTTTCGGTTTCTGCAGCTGGAGGAGACAAGTAGAGAGTTAATAAACCAAACAGACTGTGAAAATGGAGAGCAGTTTGTCAGTATGTACCTAGTAACTGTGAGACACACAGAAGATCAATTCAGCTGAGTTTGTTGTTTTGTTTTCCATCAAACTGACATTTGTTACATGAGAATGTGAGATTACTGGTGTTTGATTTGTCTTTTGGTGAAAGACCTTGACCCTGCCTGTGCAGACTGCAGGGTCTCCAGCCATCACTGTCAGCAGCACCATCATCTGTGTTCACCGGTGCCAACAGCCAGTTTGTGGCTCTGTCTCAGATGTGCTGTCTGTACTTTGTACTCAGTGCCTTGTTCTCTGTCTCTGTCAGATACCAGAGTGTGGTTTCTATAGGATGTATGAGAAGATCCTGCTGTTTCGTCATGACCAGACGTCGGAGAACGTGCTGCAGCTGCTGCGCTCGGCCTCTCAGATCCAGGAGGGAGACTTGGTGGAGGCCGTGCTGTCAGGTGAGAAGGGTTGACAGGCAATTTAGGCTTCTCAGCAAATAGGCCTATTTGGCTTTCCATAAGCGTCCTGAACACTGAGTGGTTGATCCAGCTCTACTCTGACCGAGATGTAGCTGCCTGCTATCGGTCTACTAATGGGTACTCATGTTTCTGAAAATGTTGGGGCAAATCATCATCACTTGGTTGGACTGTCAATCTAAGATCAGCATTTAACGTGGCATAAAACCAGTTCTGTGAAAATTATAACAGCTTTGAGCTTGGCTGAAAATCGCCACCATTTCCATTCCCTGATTTCTTCTTGTCCTCTTTTCTGTACTTTGATGTGAGAGCGCCCCCTAGTTAGAATGTTAATGGGCCCACGTGTATAAATAGAAGAGCTAGACAACAGTCTCCAAATGACACACACATTTGTTGCCATATGATGTTCAAGAAAAATCACAGTTTAATTGTGGTGAAAATTAACAGGACCTGCTCTGTAATAGATGTTTTCCATGTTGACTACAAACGTGGGAGGACAAACAAACTTCTGACTGGTAGTGCAAGTACACACAAATACATGCATGTTCCTCGTTCTGTGGTGGCGAGGACACTCACTGACTTAATGCATCCCTAAACCTGGTTCTAGCCTGAAGCCTGAAACCAAGTGTGAGGACATAACATGTAACAGCGATGGCTTGCAAAAAAAAAATTATCCACACTGACTGAAAAACATTTGATTCAATTTATTTGTACAGCAAACATTCACAACAGCAATCATCTCAGGGCATTTTACATAGTAAGGTCTAAACCAGGGGTTTTCAGACTTGACTACTTGACGTGAAACGTCATACCCTCGCCGGCTGTCAACGTTGCCATGACAACGATCTCAGACAGGGAAATGATTACGTTTAGCCTTGTTCTCGGGCCAGGATCGCTGTGACAATAGCCAAATAGAATATATTCTACAAAACTAATAATTTGTTTATAAGTAGGAAACATATACTTTATTACATTGTATCATTGCATTCCTAATATGACATGTGGGTTGGGTCTGGACTGACTTGCCATCCGTACTGAATCTGGACTTGAGTCCAGACTTTGAGAAACCCTGGTCTAAACCTTAACAGTATTACAGAGGAAAAACCCAACAAACCCCCCTGAGCAGCACTTGGCGACAGTGGGGAGGAAAAACTCCCTTTATTGGAAGAAACCTCCAACAGACCCCGGCTCTTGGTGGGCAGCCTTCTGCTTTTACCGGTTGGGGTGAGTGGATAGAGGAGAGACAAAAGAAGAAAAGCAACAAGACACAACAAACAATCAAATACTGGTCTGGTTGATGTGGCCGGTGACTGATCATCAGAAACGTAGAGCTCCAGGGTAACCTGTAGAAAGGTACAGGGAGAGAGAGAGGACACACTACGGGAGAGAGGAGACACAAAGTTAGTGACAAATAAATTAGGAATTTATAAATAAAAAGAATGGATCTCATCACTCCCAGTTTCCTTTGCAGTCTGGCGGCATTGTGTATCTTCCTTGTCAACTGATTCATGAGAAGACCAAAACCAACTGTTCCATATCAGAGCTTGGACTCTAGCTGACGAAGTCTGAACAGATCAAACTGAAAAGCTTGTTGTAGATGATGGATTCATCAGATAATTGGTTAAGCAGATGGGGGCAGAATTACCTCCATATTTATAGTGTAAACATTTTTGGCAGCCTGAAGCTAAGCTGAAATTCTCCAGATGTGTGTAATAATGATTTACTGTCTCCGATTGTCTCCGCCAGCCTGTCTGGCTGTCGTCCAGCTCAGGACTCAGGTGTTCACACCATGCTATGCTAACAGCCCAACAGCTGCTGCTTCCCAATTTCCTGTCACCACCCAGTACAGGGTGTGTGTGTTTGTACATTTGCATATTTGTGTGTTTGGGTTTAATGAATGTTTTCATTTATTCAGTTTCCCCTCTGTGTACATCTAGGATGTTCCACAACTTGCATCTTATTTTTGTGTTTTACTCCACCATTCCTATCAATAATAATAATAATAATTAATGTAACATTGTTTTCAGTTAGAGAGTTCTGGGCTCTTTATCCTGAAAGCTAAAATTGGTGTCCGGTAAAAGAAAAATAGGTGCTTTACAAATTTAAAAAAGGCACCAAGCTGTTGAGGTGTAAAGTCCTTTTGCTTATACCAGGTTTACTCCCTCTACACACATCCACAGACTTCCTGCTCAATGCCAAATAAAAGTAGAAAAATAATTGTAGTGGTGCTTCCTAAGAGTTCTGGGCTCTTTATCCTGAAAGCTAAAATTGGTGTCCGGTAAAAGAAAAATAGGTGCTTTACAAATTTAAAAAAGGCACCAAGCTGTTGAGGTGTAAAGTCCTTTTGCTTATACCAGGTTTACTCCCTCTACACACATCCACAGACTTCCTGCTCAATGCCAAATAAAAGTAGAAAAATAATCGTAGTGGTGCTTCCTAAGTGTTATAGAGGGTAAAATCTATGGTGACAGAGGCTTCGAGCCCGTTGCCATATAAATGTTAACATTACATGAACCACCACATCTGATTACACAGCCCACAGGTTAGTGAATGTGATAATACGAGCACAACGCTAACCAGAGCTAGCTAGCTGCCACCACTGACTGGGTCATCACGTCTCCGAAAACGCCGGGGCATATATCTAAATTAGCACTGCTTGGATGAACTGACCACATATTCCAAACCTAGATGGTTATTTTCTATCAAAATTTAATAAAGCTGTATAGTGACAGTCCTAAGATGAAGATTACAACAGCTTTGAGCCTACCCAGCCACCACTGTGGGACAGTGTACCATTGTTTCCATACTGTGAAGTTGTATGTAGGTCATCTGAGTACTACTTACATACATATTGTCCCATACTAAGAACTCAGACATACTACGAAGTAGGCAATTTGGGACACACACGGTGTCTGTTTCTCTTGTCTGTCAACATCTGTGGGTGGCTGTGGCTCACGAGGTAGGGCAGTCGTCTCCTGACCAGCAAGTTGGTGGTTCGACTCCCGGTTTCCCTGCATGCCTAAGTGTCCCTGAGCAAGACACTGAACGGTGGCTTGACTGGCGCCGGTGCGTGGAAGCCTGTTGTCATCGGTGTGTGAATGTTGAGTGTGAATGGTGTATGATCTCCTGTAAAGCACTTTGGCCAGTGCAACACACTGTGAGAAAGCGCTATATAAAATACAGTCACACTAATTGACACTATCCCACCATCAACGCAAGTTCATCCATTTTACAGATCTATTGGTGATATCGTTGTACTATGACATTTTAAGGGATGTTTTACCTTCAGAGATTAGCCACAGTCTTCCAGGGAACAATGTGTCCACACTGTATTATTGCAGTACTATTTCCCACTTCGCTCTGTATCAGCTGCAGTACAAGTTCTGCACAGAGCTGAGTGGAGTCATTTTAGGTACAGTGTTTAAATTGAACTTCTGAAAGGACTTGAGGTGGCAGTTGAAGCAGAAGCAATGAAAGAAATGCAAAGTGGCAAAAGCATTTTATGCATTTTATGCAAGAAAAGGTGAAGCAAACGTGCTGTAAAGTAGGTGTAAAAACTAAAAGCAGATGAAGTGTAATTTTAATTTGCAACTAACAGTTAAAATATCGTCCATCCGTGTTTGCTTTCTCTCTGTCTCCAGCATTATTTTGCTTTTCATCATTCTTTCTTCTCCTTTGCGTATTCCTTTTTTCTTTTGTACCTCCTTGTTTCTCCTCCTCACATCTCTCTGCTTCATTCTCAGCCCGTTATCCTTCGCTTTCTCCCTCCTTTGTTACACACTTTCATTCAGGGCTCTCTGCCAGTTCCAGTGACAGCTCGAAGTGTGGAGGAAACAAACAAGAAATTAACTTTGTACGGTGTAACAGGCAGCTCCAGTCAAGTGAGCTGATTGGTCAGAAATGACCTGTAAAAAGCATCATGGTAACTCCCAAAGCACTGACAGGTTTTATTGGCTGTGACTTTAACAAAAGCTGTTGTTTCCTACTGATTAATTAGCCTGTGTGTTGATTAAGTTTGCTGCGATTTCATTACTCAGCCATACAAATATGCACGTGTACATACATTGTACTGTGATTTCTACCAAGTCCTTTATACAGTATATCTATAGCTGTGCTTTAGTGTAGTGAAGGACATTCCACCACTGAGATTAAAAACCTGCGAACGACCTCCGCCCTCTGTGCTTGTTTGAGACTTGATATTTTTGTACTAACCAGCTAAAACATGGATGTAAATATGGGTGGACTGTCACACTGCTGCTGGTTTACACATTCTCCACCCACAGTGTTTGTTGTCTGGTTGTGGGTTAACAAGCTAGCAGCGAGCACTCGCTCACGGTCCTAATTCCACCTCAGAGAACTCACACACAAACACAGGGATTTATATTCAGAACTACCTAGGAACCCCCCTACACACACACACAAGTCATTTTCTGAAGCATATAATAACAGTTTGGGAGCTTGTTCAGACTTCCAAACATATATTGGCCCTCCAAACAAAAGACATAAACAATAATTTGAATAAATGGAGGTAATTTCCTGCAGCAGAATGTCTAATCAGAGCCGTATTCTGCTGGAGGACCACAGCACAGGGCGAGTGTGTGCATGTGAAAGAAAACCAAAAGGCAAGAGAGAATGAGAAACGCATGCAGAGAGACAGAAAAATAGGAAGGGAGTGAAAACCATATCCCTAACTACCCATGCTGCCTTGCCAAGCCTGCTGGCCAACCAAGCAAACACTCAGTCCATCTGTGCCCCCCAAGAGCCTCTCATACCTCCAAAACATTTACAAAATACCCCCTAACAACCCATTCATTACTTTTTGTCTCTGCTGTTGTGTTTATCTCCCTCGCCTCTTCTCTCTCCATCGCTGGCTAGTTAAAGAAAAACTAACCAAACCGGAGCGTCCTGTGTGTCACAGCCTGGTGTCCCTCCTCCTTCTGAGACAATGAGCTCTGTAGGTCCAGATCAAATGTGCCCAAAAGTAGGTGGGGACAGGAAACGGCGTGGGTAGGGTTGTAAACACAACCTGCAGGAGCTAGCGTGGCTAGTGGGCTAACAGCCATCCACCAGGTTGTAAATAAAGGAGCATTTTAAGGTTTTACTGTCGTTAATGCCTGTCACTGTCTCAACAGCGTAGCCCCTTCTGTGCTGCTTGGATTGTTTTGCCTGCAGTTAGAAAACAAGAATGTAAATGAGAGGATGGTCACTCTCATACCATCTGAACCCTGAAGAAACTGATTCTGTTGGATTGGACACTGGAGTGATGTGAACAAGGCAGCTCAGTTCATGTGAATGTGTCTCGCCCTGTTTCACAGACTTGATTTTTCCTGGCAAACACATTTATATGAATGTGTTTGAAAATAGTGCTTTTAGTCTCAGTACTGTAACTAAGGTAATGTATTACCTGTAATATCCAAACATTTAAACCATACCCAGCTCACACTCGTAGCGTAACAGGGAGGGCTGAATTGTCTTTTTTCAGACCAAAGTGGTGCAGCTTCCATCCAAAAACCATCAGTCTGCCACAAGCCTAATGTGAGCTAAACTGTCAGCGGTCACAGAAGGCACACATGCCCATGAATCAGGAGTGTATTGATCCCAAACCGCTGCAGAGCTCATTTAACCACAGCAGAGTGAGCATCCTACCTGAACTCACCTGTCTCTGACTAAATATGATGCAGCAGTTTGTATCTGGCCCAAACCGAGCATTTGTCCATGCCTGGTTTAGGGAACAGAGACATGTGGGTTTGCTTTTTAAGCCTTACTCCTCACAGTTCACGTGGTTCTGTCTTTGGCGTTGTGCCTTTCTCAGTCGGGGTTCTCAGCATTGCCAGTGTCCCCAACCGGGTCTTTGTGAAAACAGCTGGAGGATGTTTGGGCTCCGATGGCGACTGTGGCCACCGGCCCAGTCACCCCAGAACGGCAGCTGCTCGCCTTCGAGCCCATTTCAAAACCTCTTAGAGAAGGTAGAAAAGAGAAATCACTCCAGAATGATGCATGGGGTCACAGAGTCTTGGTGAGTGGCTTGTTTGCTCTACTTGAAACTCTAGAATGGTGAAGTGTTGTTTGGCTAAAATGGTATCAAGTTTGTTTTTAATGTAACTTCTCATCTTTTATGGATGATTGATTTCAGCAGCTCTTCCCACATCAGTCTCTGTGTTTTGGCAATGTAGTCAGGTCTCCCTCTGAAGTAACAGTATCAATACCACAGTGTGCACGTACTCTGTTACAAGTACAAGTCCTGCATTCAACTATGTGTGAGAGTTTCAGCATCAAAATATACTTAAGATCCCAAGAGTAAAAGTGTTGATTTGTCTTCAGCCCTTACGCTTTAGCTGGTGTCCTTGAGCTTTATGAGGAAGACCTGATTTCTTTCTTTCTTTTATTATAACTACATGGTGCACGACAAACAGCCACACAAAGAATAAAGCCAAGTTGTATGAGAAACCAATGTGCAGTTTGTAATGGAATGAAGAGGACTTATTGTGCATTGGTTCAGGTGTCGTCTTGATGGCTGGCAGAGAAACTGTCTGACTGCCTGTTGCAGTCACTCATATTTTGGTGTTCTCCGCAGCCTCAGCCACAGTAGAGGACTTCCAGATCCGTCCGCACTGTCTGTTCGTCCACTCGTACCGAGCTCCGGCCTTCTGCGACCACTGTGGAGAGATGCTGTGGGGACTCGTACGACAGGGGCTCAAATGTGAAGGTGTGCACTTAGTGGTTGTTTTCTGCTTATGAGGCCTGAAAAGGGAAACTGCTGTTTATTGGTTTGTGTGTTTCTGCTCATGTGTTGTTAAACTAAATGTCCTGTCGTCTTCTTGTCTCTCTTTGTGTCCAGGTTGTGGTCTGAACTATCACAAACGCTGTGCCTTTAAAATCCCCAATAACTGCAGCGGGGTGAGAAGGCGTCGTCCATCCAACGTGTCCCTGACTACACTGATGATGCTTTACTGGTCAGTAGTCTGGTGTTACAGGTGTTATAACCAGAGCCCCTCTCTGGTTTTTGTCCTCCCTATTTAAATACATGAGGACTGTGTTCAGTTCTACAGGTGTATCTAATAAAATTTGGCTTTAAAGTGATGCACAGAAACCAAATACCACTTTAACTTGTGCAGACCACGTCAGCATGTGGAGCACCTGGCTGCTTTTTGGCACCAGAGGAAACAAAAATGGAGGCAGCTCTGGGCCTTCCACGACTCCCAGGTGTGGCTACAATCAGAGGAGTTGAAGAAATAGAAAGAAAAATCATGTAATCTTTAAATAAAAAGCAACAACCGTGGACTTAGTGGTCTAAACATGAAGCTCACAGGTTTGCTGCCAGTGTGTTTCAGTGGTTGAGAGAGAAGTACCAAACTGCTTTGCATTTATTTTTTTTAATTAAACCACCTGTCTTTGTCTCTTTCCTTCTTTCTCACTGTCCAGTCTCCAGTCAGTCCCAACATGGAGGTAGGTCCCACCCGTTTTATTCTACATCTTTCATAACAAGTGTCTAAATCAAACCGAGCGAGTCTCACAGAGACGTTCACACTTGTCATTTATGTTTTTAATTAATACACAGAGAACACGGGCTTTAAATACGGAAATGTATTTCTTCACTAATGCTCTGTGTTCATTCATTACATTTCCCCTTTAACAGATTTTTTCTGTTTTATAAATCTATCAGAGGCTTGAATTAAAAGCCCGAGCTTCATTTTGTTGAGCTTTTGATTTGAAGAAGGTTCACGAGCAGGGATAAATTAGTTTGACCTGTTTTAAGTTGCAGCAAAATAAGCTTTGTACCTGTAAATGTAAAGCTGCACGTACCACAAGGCCAGAACACACATATCATCCATACACGTTATAAAGAACAACACAGGTGAGACTGGCCTATGGACCTGACTAAGAGGTGGAGTAGGGCCCTACTCACCCACATGTTTGCTCCTGATGATGAACTGATAACACCCAGTTAATGGGATGATAACATTCAAGTGTAAAACTGCAGAAGCCTGATAGTTCACCTGTCTGCTGGAACCTGTTCTGAGTCCCAGTATAATGTCTGTAAATGAATCCCCTCCAGTAAATCTGTCCAGTGATGTCAGAACCAGTCTTCTGTACTGGTCACCTGATCTTTGCCTCCTCCTCCTAGCAGAAAAACCAGTTAGATTACTTCCCTGGCAGAGAGCGGCGTTCCAGCTCGCAGTCGTATGTTGGCCGCCCCATCGAACTGGACAAGATCTTGTTGTCCAAGGTCAAAGTTCCCCACACCTTCCTGATCCACTCCTACACCCGACCTACGGTCTGCCAGCACTGCAAGAAGCTGCTGAAAGGCCTGTTCAGACAGGGGCTGCAGTGTAAAGGTGAGCCTCTGCAGCCTTTCCAAATGTTCATGCCTCCACCTCAGCCTCCTTCCTTGTTGGTGTTCAAGCATTACGGTATTTCTTGCATACTTGCATACATACTTAGACATGTGAGGCCGTGACCTGCTGTGACCTTATGGCTGCCCTCTTCATTTGTTTCTCTCTCAGATTGTAAATTTAACTGTCACAAGCGATGTGCTCCCAAAGTACCAAACAACTGTCTGGGAGAAGTTTCCAAAAACGGAGGCATGTTTGAACACACTCATACACATTCACTCACTTGTATGTATGAGGACCTGGAGCAACATACCTACAAACATAACCTCAGCACAAAAGTTGACCAAGGACTGAGATTTAACACTACTGACCCAGACTTTTCCATTTGACCTGCAGAGCTCCTGAGCCCGGGGGCGGACTCAGACGTTGTTATGGTGGAGGGTTGCCTTGATGACCATGATGTGGACAGAGGTGGCGGCCTGCTGGATGACCTGGATGATGTGCTTTCATCAGAGGGGGGTCTCCTGCTAGATGCAGTGCCCGGCGACTTCTGTGACCTGCACGACTCCGACCTGGACGAATCCTCCCGCGCCATCAGGTACAAAAACGCACACTCGCACATACACATACTGGAAGTAGACACACAGATCTGAGGTTGTGTGTGTTGTCCCACCCCGCAGCCCGTCCACCAGTAACAACATCCCTCTGATGCGAGTAGTTCAGTCCGTCAAACATGCAAAGAGGAGGAGCAGCAATGTGATGAAGGAGGGCTGGATGGTCCACTACACCAGCAAGGACACTCTGGTATCTGACCGCTTGTTTGTCTGTGCACATAGGTTTGTGTTGACAGAAGCAAAGCTGCTTTTACTCTTCAGTGATGGTAAAATGAACTGAGTTGGGTAAAAACAGTGATTGTTAGTTGCAGCTGTGTGGAGAACTGGCTTTGTTCTTCGTCTCTGTCTCAGTGTCCTCGCTCCTCTGCACACTTCTGCCTTTCATTCATTCTTATCATCTCTACTCACCCATCTGACACTTCTTTCCATCTTTCCCTTTTCCTCTTCATCTCTGTGTTTCAGAGGAAAAGACATTACTGGAGACTGGACAGTAAATGCATCACACTGTTTCAGAACGACACAGGAAGTAAATACTACAAGGTAAGACGACCTGCTGCACCGTGCCCTGTCTTTACTGATGTCCACTGAAATCTTGATTTAAATGAGGAACAAAGCATCAAAAACACAAGTAAACAACTTTATAAATCTGACAGGACACTCAGGTAGTCACTTTTCTGTGTGGACACATTTGGGTCGCTGCCAAAAAAATCAAGAGTCGATATCCAGAGTTCTAGTTAAGGTAGTTCCCAGTATGAGGTGAGAGAAGCGCATGTGAATGACTATAGACTGCCAGCTTGCTTCCCATCATACACCTGTGCTGCTGGGTGGGAAGCTGGTGATGGATGACATCCCTCGGATGCCATTTTTAGTTGGTCTGGCAATGCTGCTTTCTTTTATCTCAGTAAATCCACTTAGAAGCGGTTCAACTATTAACTGGCAGCTGTTTTACTTGCATACTGTACTGCCTCACACGTCTGTGCTCCGCAGGGTACAGCGTTGCTTTATTCTTTGTGACGTCTCCTGAGACCTGCCCTGCTGTCCTCCTTTCTGCAGGAGATCCCTCTGTCAGAGATCTTATCCCTGGAACCAGCTCAGACCTTCTCTTTGCTTCCTGATGGAGCCAACCCTCACTGCTTTGAGATCGCCACCGCCTCGCTCGTCTACTACGTTGGGGAGAACCTGCTGAGGTCTGAGTCGTCTGTGAGCGGCAGCAGCCTTCTGGTGAGGCAGACTTATTGAGATACGATGCTCGGCTTCGTTCATGTGGTGAGATAGGCTGTTCTCCTGTACTTACATCTGTCTGCGTCCATCTCTCCACACTGGAGCCGTTCTCACATTAAAGCCTGGCTTGGAGTTCACTCACGAGGTTTTGTCATCACCTTCAACCACAGAGACGTGGGTCACGGTCTGTCCCCATATATGACAACATTACATACTCATCTTAGGCCACATGGTAACAACTGATCTAGGTTCTCAACACCTCCTTCCAGTGACTAAGCTCTGGAGATGCTGTTGGCAGAAAAACGTTTTTTAGCCAGTGGTGGAAGGAGTACTCGGATTGGTTACTGAAGGAAAAGTAGCAATACCACTGTGTGAAAATACTTTGTTACAAGTAAAAGTCCCACATTTAAAATTTTAAGTAAAAGTGCTAAAGTTTTAGCATAAAATATAAAATGCCAAAGGTCAATGTACATCATATTATTCAGTTATAATGACTGATTAATTATTGTGTACTTCACATTTAATGTTGTAAAGATGAAGCTAGTTTTAATTATATGGGCAGCTTGTGAACGTAAATCTTATGATTATACAGTATTTGGTTTTATAAACCTCATTCTGAAAAGTAACTAAAGTTATTGATAAGTATAGTGAACACAAAGTGAAATTCAGTGCAAAGTATGAAATAGTAGGAAATGACTCAGCGTCCAGCTACTGTACCTCAACATTGTACTTAAATACACTGTTACTGTCCACGTCTGTTTCTAGCAAACTAAACTTTCACATCCACAATGAACTGGCACAAATTTTAACCCTGCAGATATTTGCAAACAATTTTTTTTGTATTTGTTTATTTTTCCAGGGGCATGTGCAACTAAACACCGTCACACTCTGTCAGCTGATGCTTTACATATGGGGCGTCTATCGAAAAGCTAATTTGCAGCCCCCATCCCTGGTTGGGCTTTTAGGAAATGGGTTCAAACATCCAGGAACGAAGAGAACGACTGCTGCCACTAGGGCGCTGACAAACTCACAGACGGGTCCAACACTAGAATTAAAGAGATCAATGTGCATTTCAGGGCTCCAGGGGTTTCTTTAAACTTTCCTCCACACATATCCACTTACTGAACCCCCAGTTCTTCAGGTCAACAGTGCTGTGCTAACTGGTTTCACTGGCTGATTTCAGGTCAGTGGTGTGGGACAGGATGTGGCTCGGATGTGGGAGATGGCCATTCAGCATGCTCTCATGCCAGCTGTTTCTACTGGAGTGTCGCACTCGTCCCACCGCGCTGGACACAGTAAGACAAAAACAGCTGATATACTGTCTAAACCCTGCACAGGTTGATGTTGTTTGTCTGTTCATTTGGTTTTCCATGTGCTGATTCATGCTTTAAGTAGTTTAGGAGGGTGGATGTAGAGGAAATAGTGTAGAAGTGTTGGTTCCCCTCTCTGCACTAACATGCCTGGTTGTTTTGTGAAGCTATAATTTCAGCCTCATTCAGTCCAAACTCATGATATGCAGCCAAATGTTGTTCGACTCTTCAGAACTTCATTTAAAATTTTACACCCACCAGATATGACACAGAGAATGCTGCACTCTCACTGCAGCCGTTAGCATGGCAGAGAACCTGTCTGGAAAGAAACTGGGCACAGTTCCAGCTCAGGTATTCATGTTCCTGCTGCTGTTGAATTCTCCTGCAGACTCTCAGGGCCATTGACACCCACACTAAAGTCTTCAGAGATATTTCAGACCTTCACTGACGTCAAAGTGAGAATGACTAACACTTCACTGTGGTGGCAGTGCCTTCTCTGACTCTATGTGTTCACCTGTGGGGAAAGCACACTAAAATAATACCATCACTTCAGATTTCTAGCATTTCTTATTAATACACGGACTTGGACACTGCTAAACCCACGGGCGACACTTGTGGGAACAGAAGGGTCGCCCAAAACAGTTTATAAAGGTTACATTTAATGATTTTTGTTTTAAAATAGATGTGTCATTTGAAGTTAAATTGTTAATGTCACCGATGATGTCTTTAATGATGACTCACTGTGAATGTTTTAACTCTGATCATGTTTGTGTCTCATCACCAGAGGAAGTTTCCATCAGTATTTCTGTCTCCAACTGCCAGATCCAGGAGAACGTGGTGAGAAATCGCACACGGTACCCAACTCATACCCCCGTCACTGGTGTTCATGCAGAGCAGGCTGTTCTTGGTCATGTAATCTGTGCCTTTAACTGTCCAGTGGAGATGTTTGTTCCCTGACTCCTGCCTTGAAGGCAGCGCCTTGTTCCGCCCTACAACAGCAAAGGGCCTGGAGACACGAGTGCTGTTTGAAGGACGCACTCTGTGGGTTTCATGGGAAGGAGTCACATGGAACCCAGCACATACAAACTGTACACAGCTAAACAGTGAAGCAAACGAGTCCATTATTAGACTCTGTCAGCAAGTAAAGCTGTCTGACATTAATGATGCCGGTGCCATGAGTGACAACGGCACCGCTGCACACACACACACACACCTGTTTTTTTTTTTTTGCTTTCAGATGGATCTCATCTCGGAGAAAACAAGCAGCGCTCTGACAAACATTTGTTTAAATTAGCAAGTGCGAACTGTGTGGTTGTACAGATACTGGACATTTCTGAGAAGCAACACTAAGCGCACGTTCCTGAGTGAGGCTACTGTGTACAGTCACTTCTGTACACTGCTATAGAACGAGCCCAGTCTATTGCCACAGTAGCTATTTGATATTTTCAAGAGAGAATTGAGTCGTTTTGTCCTGGAACATAATCTGCTGTTCATGGAGGTTTGTGTTCAGTTGTTATTGTGTTGGTGTCGAGCCACAGTATCCTCAGTTGTATAGTGACGAATATATGAATGTCCTTTACACAGTATCGACCATTTTTCATAAGGCTCACCAAAACTTTTTAACAGCCAGGAAGTATCCTCAGTAGGCCACTTTACAGTCGGTGGACAAACCATGTGCTGAAACACGTCTTTGTCATTTCTTGACTTGTATCTACAGAGAGCAGCCACGCTCCCAGTCGGGCTGCGGCGTGGTGCATATTACCTTGATGCAGCAGAGTGTTGGTTGGTACTGGTTAGCTGCAGATTGTTCTTCTGCCTTTCCCACATTACCTTTCTGACAGGAGTTTGACTGCCTGAGCCGTCTGTGACCTCTTCACCCCAAACTTCCCACCTAAAGCCATGTCCTGTCTCAGCGCCCTCTGTCTAATCCTTTTCTGCCTTCTCTCATGTTTCAGTCATTTGCGTTCGTTTGAGAGACTGGGAGGACGTGTCACAGGATTTCTCTGCGCCGGTCCGTGTATTCCAAACACCCTGTGCATTTACATCACAGACTTACACAAGACTCGAATGTCTGCAAACTGTATTCATGCAAATGTAACTGCAGAGAACATAGAGTCCCGTTTCCATGCACATGTGCACCTCGCCGTCTCCAAGGTGAGCACATCTTCAAGCACCTCAAATGGAGATTACTGTGATTACTCACTCAGCCAGTGGTTTCCATAGCGACGGATGGTAATTAGGCAGCGAGCTCAGGCGAACGGGAGGAGGTTTATAATATTGTATTTCTGTCCTCTTTGCTTGAGGTGTGATATTAGGCTGTCAGCTAACAGGGAGGAATGGGAGACATGACTTCAGACAAATGAAGGAGAAAATATTTTGCTGTTGTGGTGTCAAAGCTGTGGCAGATCCCTGACGCTGTGTAACTACATTGAGGGAGGCTCACAGTAGGCGTCTCTGGAAGCTCCTCCACCAGGTGATGAATTGATGCACTTCACTGTTTTGCTGGAGCCACTTTGTGTCAGCCTGTCTCGCCCTCCTCCATTCAGTAGTAGCAGGTTCCATCAGAGGAACCACTTCTCACCTGACACCTTCATAGCCTAGACTTCCAGGAGCTTATGGATGTAGGTGTTGCTGTGCTGTGTCCCTGCAGTTAGTTCTGTGTCTCGAATGCCGCTGAGTGCATCAGATCATTATGTTGTTTTTGCAGCTGCAGTTTCTCTGGTTCCTCTGGCGAAAGGCTTTGTTTTGCAGAGCTGATTTCTGCACCTGCTGAATGACATCTTCTCCAAAATGATCTTAGGGCTGTGAAATCCAGCCACACAGTCCAGTCAGTTGTTTTGCTTTGTTAAAGAAATTGTTCAGCATTTTGGGTGACTGGTGGTGACACAACCAGACAGGGTAACACTTTGTAGTACAGCCCATGTTTTACTGGGATTTCACAGCATAACCAGCTCCTGATGCAGCAACTGGGTAGTTTAGAGGATGCCCACCAGGTCTGGTCAGCACTGGAGTTCACATTGAGGTTCTGTAGAACCCGCTGTATAACGTAATAATTAGCTCAGACGCCACCAGAGCTGTGGGGGTCCAGTACGGGAATGTCTTCCACCTGCATCCTGTTGTCCTTGACTAGGGTTACATACAATAAATACGTCTCTAAACCAAGGTTTCTGCAGGGTCACCAAGTTAAACACCTATCTCAGTCACATGGATCAAAGAATTAACACATGATGAGCAACCAGCAGGGATGATCCAGCCTGGGATCACATCTCAGGTCCTCAGTCCCTGCCAGCAGGACAGAACAATAATCCTCATCATGTAATGAATCTGGACCCACACAAGCCACTTAAACACTCGCGGTGTTTGCTGCTTGTCTGACGGTCCGACTGACACCGGACAGCTGCCTGCACACACATTACTGCCGCATCCGGTCACCCAGCCTGCACCGGGGCATTCGGAGCCTGACCTCAGAGCACTGCAGCAGCTCCATGCTGGTCCCCCCACATGGAGGGCTCAGTGTCTACTGGTCTTAGTGGTGTCTTTTATTTGGAACCATATCGAGTGACTGTGAACCTCTACAGCGTGCTGTTGTTTTCCAGGACATCAACTCCGTGTACCAGATCTTCCCAGATGAGGTTCTTGGCTCGGGACAGTTTGGTATCGTCTATGGAGGTAAAAACACAGAGCGCACAAAGTGAAGGGAGAGTTGACATGAGGTCTACATGTAATGTTGTTTAGTTCTTCAGAAAATCGAATATGGGGTTTCTACAGGGTTCAGCAAGTTAAATGTGAGAACTGAAGGCCTTTATAATAGCACAGTATGTAGTGTTTCAAACAGGCCAGAGTATAAAAGATATCAGCAGTCAAACCAGTGGGGATGACGAGACCTAGATTTACTGACCTAGTGCATGAATGTATTGACATTTCTGTCGCACTGTAGTCAGGGCGTCTCTGCAGTAATGGCTCCTAATAAGGTCATTATTTCATCATCTGGCAGCAGAAATAGATGGAAGGATTAACCAATTAAAAATAAAAATTCATAGTCCACATGTGGATTTCACACAAGGCGACTGGTTTGGAACAGGAGCCCTACAGCGACTAGAGAAGATGGTTATGACCTTTGTAAATAAGACTTTAATATGTCTGACGGTTTTTTCTTTCCCTGAAAATTATTCTTAAAAGTAAAGTATGTAAATAAAGAAATTCTGATGTAGCTTCTATACTTTCAGGAACAACTTTTGACAATGTTGTCAGTGCAGTTTCTTGAATATGCCATATTATATTATACAGTATTTTAAAAGGAAGTTACAAGAAAAAGAGGATATCGAGAAGAAAGCTGAAATAACCAGAGGTTACAGCTGTTTATTATGCTCTAATCTAATAAAAATTTGACTTCGTTCTCAGCTTTAAATATGTAATGTCAGAATATCTACAGACTCCTTCTCCTGTTGAAGCACATTCATGAAACACGCAGGCTGACGTTGACGGCTCAAAGCAAAGGTGTCCATGTGTTTCTGTCTGGTTTATAGCTGTTATTCAAACCCAGCCCCAAAACTTTCACATGTGCTTCAATTAATATTAGAACAGCTGAGTGTGTTTATGATGCTGATTTTGAGTGTGTGTGTGTTCATGCAGGTAAACACAGGAAGTCTGGCCGAGACGTCGCCATCAAGATCATCGACAAACTCCGCTTCCCCACCAAACAGGAGAGTCAGCTGCGCAACGAGGTGGCCATCCTGCAGGTACACACACACACACACACACACACACACACTCAGTGGTGCTGCTCAGGAGCCCGCTGGCACGAGTGAGACTTCCCATCGTCAATGAATTCATTACCGTGGCAACACTGCGGGGGTGTGACTTCCTGTAATATTTTAGTGCTGCTCAACCTGCAGAAGCTGCGGCTGCAACACACACCTGCGCAGAAAACACAGTTCACTTCAGCAGTGATGGAAAGTAACTAAGGATATTTACTGAAGTACTGCAGTGAAACACAAGTACATTTACATAAGTACTTTAGTGCAGTTTTACTGTATTAGAGTGTTTCCATTTGTACCTCAGTAGAGCTCAGAGAGAAATGCTGTACTTGTTTCTCCACATGTATCTGACAACTGCAGATACCTTTCACAATAAGATTTAAAATTAAAACATCAAGTGCATGAAGGTGATTCCTCCTCCTCCTCCTCCTCCCAGAGTCTGCACCACCCTGGTGTCGTCAACCTGGACTGCATGTTTGAGACGCTGGAGCGAGTGTTTGTGGTCATGGAGAAGCTCCACGGAGACATGCTGGAGATGATCCTGTCCAGTGAGAAAGGACGACTGCCGGAGAGGATCGCCAAGTTTCTGGTCACACAGGTGCATCACCAGTTTGACACACTGGGGCGGGGGGGGGTTAATAGCTGGTGGACAGCAGTGGAGGTCTACGGCACAGAGCAATGAGCTGGCCCAGGGCCTGGACATTACGGTGAGGACACCATGTTCTCTGGTGCTGCTGGTCAGAAAATCACCAGCCTTATGTTTTATGGTGTCTGTCTCTTCAGGCCTTTGGCCCAGAGATGATTCAACCCACAATCTTCTTGATGTTGTGTGTGAATATTTATGAGGAAAAATACATTTTGGTAGTAAAAGATTCCAGCGGTACATAGAAGAGTTCTTTGTTTCCATAAAAACGTCCTTATGCTGCTCGTGCTCCTCAGCAGACAAACTCTGCAGAGTGAAATTACCCCGAAACTTTGTTCTTTAGTTTTACCACATCACGTTGCTCTACTCTGATGAAACGTTTGTGAATTATTACCGAATGTTTTGGCCTGTATGTGTGTTTCTGTGTCAGATCCTGGTGGCTTTGCGTCATCTTCACTTCAAGAACATCGTCCACTGTGATCTGAAACCTGAAAATGTCCTGCTGGCCTCTGCAGACTCCTTCCCACAGGTACATCGGATCCTCTGCCCTGTCAGTTTCTGGGATTTATTTACATGTTCTGAGAGAATTACGCAGGTGTTTTATTCAGTCTTCTTCTCCCACGCATCAGGAGCCAGGAGCACTGTTTCTTCAAGTGTTTACAAGTTTGTCATCAATGAATTCATTGCCGTGGCAACACTACCATTAATATTTATTATATTATTTTGCATATGGATGTGGTTAACTATCATGAATGTGAACACAACAGTTCTTTAGAAAGTCAAACTATTCCTTAAAACCCTTTTAATGTCTTAGAAAATCCATATGGACAAATTAATTTCAGATTTTGTAGCTCAAATCAGACATTTCTGAAACTGTGACGCATGCAGGTAGAGACGGCTGAAATTGGCATGTCTTCTAATATTTCCAATTTTACGTCTGATGGAGGTTGGCCAGCACTTTCCCCCTGCTTCCGGTCTTTGTACTAAACCAGTATAGACATGCCTACATGTCCATGATCTCATCTGGGTCCGGGGGAGACGGAGAACGTCAGCAGCAAACTGCTCCCAACTTAATGAAACGCTGCAAATCCAGAGCATCTCTTCAAGATATTAGTTTGTGTTTGTTCCGTGACAGCTCAGATGAACGGTGAGGAAAGTGTGTGAGGAATCCACATCATTAGAGGAAACAGGCCGTCTGACACAAACAGTTGTTTCTGGATGAGACTGACAACTGCAGAAAACTGCTACTAGTTGCACCGACGGCTACGGGGCTGTCGGTGTCTGCTGGTGTTTCCCTGCCTGTGTTTTTCATACTCTTCCCTGCGTGTTCATACCCGCCAGCTCCAAACCTACCTGTTGTATCTTGTTTACCGAACAGGTGGAGAATTTACAAACAGGATATTTTGGTTCTAGTAGCACCGTCCACGTGTTACAGGACCAGGCGATGCCTTGACTGGTCGACATCCACATAAACTGCTGCTTTTCCTGATGTTTCATAAAAAGGAACAGTCCACCTACTTTCAAACAGGTACAGTAGTACCAGGGTGGAGAGACGTCTGGTATGCTGCAGTTGAGATTTGATGGTAGAGGCTTACTGAGGACAATTGTGTGTATCATCCTGCAGATGCCACAGCCAGCAGCTCTTCACTGTCAGCAGCTTCATCACACTCCTCCTGTCTCCTGTGCTGACGGGGTGTTAGGACGAGGATGTAATAGGGTATCTGGAGCTCTGGGAAAGTTGTGAAAAGCACTGAATGTAGGGGGCTGTCCTCCTGTCAAATATGACGGTATATGTTGTTTGAGCCACCAGGTTACTACGACATATTGTGTGGTGATACTTGGTGACTGCTACTAATTATGGCACAAGGAAGGATTAAGTATACAAAGGCACAAAGTCTATGTGGGTGGGCTAGGTGTACACAGGACTCTCCTGCACAAGACCAGAGTTAACATCCACTATGTGGCTTGTGTTTTGTCTCTAAATGTAACGTGTGTTTTTGTTCCTATACGTCATTTTTCCCTAAACCTAACCAAGTAGTTCTTGTGCCTGGTCATAAGTGTCTTCTGTGGCTAAACGAAATAAAACTGTGAGGATTCATAATCGTACTGTCATATTTATGATGCTTTCCAAGACGACCGAGTTCCAGTACCTTGTAGGTCGCTGCTAGCTAGCCTGTTGTGTTTATGGCCGTTTCCATGACAACAAAGGTCAGTAAAAGTTGGTAGTGTGATGTAGGTTGTCATTCATTTTGGCAGGATTATTGTCAGTTCCTCCTGCGACCTGTAGGGGCGCAGTTTAATGATACGGCCCTGTGGGACATATGAGAGGGAAGGGACAAACAACCACATGGGGGGTGCAGGGTGGGGGACTTGTTGAAATGTAGTTCTCCAAGCTGGAGAGTCTTTTCTGGTTGTAAACAGATGTTTCAGTGGTTCAGCTAGGAAGCTGACCCACCACGGTCAATTTTAGCAAAAACCTAAAGTTAAAGATGCACCATTCTCAAATGGTTTAAGATGTTATTGGACAATTTTTACATATTCCTGGATTCTGCATACAAGAGGAAGAGCAGGAGCAGTTGATACTGTGGTCCAGTCCCTGCAACACACACACACACACACACATTAATCAGATGTACAGTATCATTTGTCACAATCTGTGTAGCCTCATCTCTGGCACCTGCTGCACACCAGTGTTGGATGAGACCAGTGTGAGGAAAGTTGATCAACCGACCTGTCGTCCTCCAGGTGAAGCTGTGTGACTTCGGTTTCGCTCGGATCATCGGTGAGAAGTCGTTCAGGCGCTCGGTGGTCGGCACGCCGGCCTATCTGGCGCCCGAGGTCCTGAGGAACAAAGGCTACAACCGCTCTCTGGACATGTGGTCAGTTGGAGTCATCATCTATGTCAGGTAGGAGAGGATGGAGAATTTTACTCTTTTCATTTTAATGCTGCTTCCTCCCTTTCTTCGCTTTCTTTTTTTTATTTTACTCGTCTTTTCCTCTGCTTCTCTTTTTCTTTCTACTTCTGTCATTTTCTTTCTTTGTCTTCTTTAATTTCAGCAGAATTATTTCAAACAAACACAAGTTGTCTGCGAATTACCATCACAATAACCTCAGTAAAATGTAGTGATGTACCTACTTTATATTGATGATAACACTAAAAACATGCCTGTGCTTATTTAGTAACAGTGAAAAAGTCTAAATGTATGAGTGAAATAACTCAGACCTAATATTTCCATCAGTGATATCGTTCATGCATTTACTATAAACCTCTGCTGCAGTCTCAGTGGGACGTTTCCATTTAATGAAGATGAGGACATCAACGATCAGATCCAGAACGCTGCCTTCATGTACCCCCCCCATCCCTGGAAGAAAATCTCCCAGGAAGGTACGTGACATGGACCCGCCTCTGCCGAGGTGTCACCCGCGGCTCCATCCGCGCCTCAGAGACACACAGGAGGAGAAAAAGCAAGTTGACACAGCCTAATTGTTGCTGTTCACCTCATCATTGTTTAGCTTTTGCATTTACTGTGTATTGCTTGTGTCTCTATAGCCTGGTTCCAGATCGCCACACGTATCTCTGGCACACATTGCACGGACCCGGTTCTAAAATTAGTCCGGGGTGACCAGTTCGGATTCATCTTAGAGCCCTCGACCAATTTTAGAACCAGGTCAAATATCGACCTGATGGGTGGTCGACATGCAGCATGAGCCTGGTCCCAGTTAATCACCTGAATGACGATCTGGCCTGAAAACCATCAGATGCATTTGTGGCAGGTTAGAAGTCTGCCGTGTGCAGTGTGAGCAGGTCCACGGTTCGATTCCCCACAATGCTGTGTGAAATACAAAGACAGATGAGAGATCACGGTTTGTGATCGGACTCGGCAGCACCTTGTCTGTAACAAGTGTCATCACAACAACAGCAGCAGGAGTTCCTGATTTGACATTTCTTCCTTTTTGGTTTCTCTACAGCATAAATATGCTGACAGAAATTCCACTCTTCTCTGTTGACATCAACTTCGAGGATGCAGCCATGTTGTTTGAACAGAAAACAGCCACTGCTGTTCTGTGTGAATCGGTGGTTATTGTTTGTCCTCAAACATCAGTGCAGGTGATTTTCTCCTGCTGCCCTATGATAACCCCAACTTGTCCTTGAAGTCGGTTTGAGTCGGTCTCTGCTGCAGCGTGACTCAGGTTGTTGTAGTCATTGTCTCTTAATGCATCCCCCTGTGTGTGTGTGTGTGTGTGTGTGTGTGTGTGTCTGTGTTGGCTGGAAGTGTCTTGTTGACTCCAAGACAGATTTAAATCGGCCTGACTCACTCGGATCTCTCCTCAGCGATCGGGCTGAGGACCTCTTAACCTTCCCTCCACCTCTTCATCCTGCCACAGCGACTTCAGCTGCGCTCCAGAATAAATGCAATTTGCTTCTGTCAGCCACAGGAGGATGAAATGTCAGAGAACAAACTCTTAGTGAGTCAGCAAATCTGCATCTTCACAGAAGACACTTTAAAGAGTTTGTCTCCTGCCCACATGTAGACATTAAAGTCTGAAGTTAATACACATTTGAAACCTGAGTTTTGTGACCTCTGGTGGGAAACACCTCATTTGTTTCAAGAAACGGATGCATTGATGGAAGCCTGCCAAATAAAAATAATAGATTAGTGGAATTTTACATAACATCAGAAGTCTGGAACAACAGTACTGGAAATGTTCTGGCCAGTTTTTGTTAAATTCACAACATTATCAGTAAAGTACCTACCAACCTACCTACCGTTACTTACCGTTACTGCCTAGATTTAGGCCTTTCCTTTTAAGGCCCTTTTCAGGGCTTTAAGCTTTTCAGACAGACCTGTGGCTATCCTGTCATTATCCATGTAAACACATCCCGACTATGATCAGCGCTGGGTTACTCATGCTCAACACACTCCTTGTTTTTTCCACCAGGAGCGTTTCATATCTGATAAACTCGCTGCAGTGTTGGAGCTTCACTTGCTGCAGAAAAACAGAAATCTGTGCTTTTTAACCCTCGGACAAACTCTGAGCTGCTGAGGTGGACAGACTGACATCGCCTCCCTTCGGCCCCAAAGCTAAAAAAGTCTGAATACTGCAGATTAAAGCTGGGTCACGTGACTCCCCTGTGAAACGAGCTGCTGTTGTAGAGGTGTAAGAGAAAAATGTTCCCGTTCAGAGATTTAGATGGACCCATTTTAAGGGGGGGGGGTTGCTCTGGCCATCAGGTGGCGGTCCATTCATGTGCATAATGCCAGGCGATGGAGGCCCATACAGAGCTGAGGGGCCCCAGAGTCCTGGAGCTGTTCAGACCACTGACCCTTGAAGAAATGTTAACATCATGTTAGCTTTGCTCATTAGCCCCAACTGGCCCCTCACCACAGGGGGGCCCCCGATCCTACATCCTCCTCCCCTCCCTCATCGCTCCACCCACCACCCCGCCGGACACTCGACCCTTCGTTGTCACTTCTTCCTTATTTGTTTTTCCTTTTTCTTCCTTGTCTTCCCTGCAGCGATTGACTTAATTAACAACCTGCTGCAGGTTAAGATGAGGAAGAGATACAGTGTGGACAAGACCCTCAGTCACCCCTGGTTACAGGTAGGACACTGGAGACACTTTTCACTGGATTTAAATGTAAAATTATTCTAAGAGTGAAAAAGAACAAAGAGAGAGAGACAAAGGAAATGACCTGACCTCCAGCCGGTCAACTTACCACCGGCAGTGCCGGGGAAGCTACCATGACAGCTCGTCCTTGTAACCTACCAGTTGGTTCACAGTGCAGGAAGTCGAACCACAGCAGAGCCACACCAGGGAGAAATCTAGTTTGGTCAGCTGAAGCTGCTTAGAAAAAGTCATTCAAACTACTTAGTAAAAAAAAAAAGACCAAATTTACAAAAACGTCATGTCAGCAAAAAAATGCCACTTGAGTTTATTAGCTGAGACCTAAACCTGTCCTAAATAAAACGATCCCGTCCAAGTTTTTCACAAGGACGCCGTGTTCTATTTCTGTTGTAAACAAATCGTCTGACTGCGACTAAAACCGTAAAGAATAACAAATCTAATTTGCACCTTTTTAAACCATTTGACTGAGTCAAACGTCTTTATGACCGACTTGAACGACCAACTTTATACGTCTCTCAAAGTTCTTATCCCACGGGCGGTTCTGTTTGGCACCGATATGCCCTTAGCACAGCTGATAAGCTGCTCACATGCAGCACTGGTTCGGACACCCATCTTGAACTTTATGAAGACTTCAGTCAATCAATTCTAATCTTTATTGCCAAGTATATTAAAGTTCAAGAAATGTGATTCCAGTTCGGTGGTTAGCAGAGAACACAGTGGACGGGGACATAGCCGGGGACTATAGAAAGACTTCACCTCGTCTCCTTTGTCAGTCAAAACCTTTTATAGCTTCACTAGTTAACGCCACAAGAAATGGCACTAAAGTATATTAACTACTAGAAACACTAAGGAAACATGAATGTATTTGAATTACCAGCAAACTAAACAGCTAGTTTACTTACATGTAGTTCACTGCTCCCCGACACTGACAGCCAAAGACATGACCACACAGTAATAACTAGAAAGGCACCAGGTTACAGACTAGACAAAAAGCAGGAGGGAAGACGAGACAGACTTGGTGTTAACAGTGAACATCAGGCTGTGTGTCCAGGAGTGTACGACCCAAGTAATAATAATGAGATCTGATTTTAGAGGTTGAAGACTGGAGGCTTGGCTCTGCCAGATCTGGCCAGAGAACACGTACTGACCTGTGTTTTCTCCACCAGGACTACCAGATGTGGTTGGACCTGAGGAACTTGGAGTCCCGGATGAACGAGCGCTACATCACCCATGAGAGCGACGACCTGCGCTGGCACCACCACGCCCAACTCAGCGGCCTTGACTACCCCCCACACCTCGGCAACAGCGGCCAGGGGTTGGAGCGTTACCAGGAGCAGCAGGAGGAGCTGGAGACCCTCAGTGAGAGGGTCAGTGAACTCTGAGGACAAGAACACGTGTAGAGTTTCACAGCCACCGTAACAAAATGAACAAAAGCACAAAACTAAAACAAGTGGAGAGAGTTTAAAATGATTAATAGAATAACATTAAACAAACAAGGCTCATTTTAAAGATAGGCTAAGGCCCAGCTTACCCCTTGGCCCTACCCCTCCATGCGTTCAGTGCTGGCGCATCCCGACTCTCCCCAAGATGGGAGTGGGAGGGCAAGGTGGTCGGGTCACATGGCTCTTCAAACAAAGGATTTCCAGAGGCAGACTCAAAGCCAGGTGGTATGAGGCCAACTACAGCAAGGCCCAATCCCATTTCTTATTTTATACGGGGAAGCTATGCTTTCCAATACTTCTATGTGTCATCGGTGGTCAAGTAAACAGATAAGAGGAGTTGTGGGAAATGTCGACTCGCACAGCGCCACCTTCAGCTGTGGCTATTTCTCTTTCATGGGCTTTGAGCATTGGTTTGCAATTTTCAACAGCAAATAAGAAAAATGCCAGGAGTGGAATATGTTTTTGATGCCAGGGAATGACAGTGGATTTGCCTGAGGTGTGCAGCGTCGACGGCAGGTTGTTGGCTTCATACCACTCCGTTTTGGGTCTGGCACTGGAAACCCTCTGAGCTGGTAACTAAAGCTGCAGCTCGCCCATTTTTCTGTGGAAGCACATTCACCAAAGAATAAACTTCCATATTCTATTATTGCTTCTCTACGTCACAGTCATGACTCTGCATCTTATGATTGCTGCTGTTTCTCGCTGTATAAGATTGAGATCATTCAGTTTCTTTTCCTCTGTTTAACTCGCTTCTCCCCGCTAAATAAAACCAGTAAATGTTTTTTTGAGATCCTTTTAATTACAAAACTGAGTTAATACCATTCACATATGGGCCTTCAGCGTATGTTCACAGATTTCCTAATTATAAGATGCAGAGTCATGAGCCGTTCCCTGGGTTTTTGTGATACGCCTCTGTACCTTTCTCACTTGACCCACTGAGTTATTCATCAGAAAGGCTCCAAGCTGCAGTTCTTCTAGACAGTAACATGGAAAAGCAGCTTTCATTTGCATTTGGAAACATGAAACCTCGCAGTTTGAGCCTATCGTGTAATCATATAAACAAACCGCAGCTTTCATCCACATTAAACCTAAAACGCTCTTAAAACGGACACAGATCATCGTCCGAACAGGAAGTGTTTCATGTGTTTTTTAACTTTTCTAACAAAGTTAGATCTTGAGTCGTTTCTACAGCGGAGAGAGCTCGACATGCCACAGCTGAACCTGAGGCTGAGTGTCTCGGGCACTGTACATTTTACTACAGCTTTCCTTTGATTTCTATACCACAAGTATTCCAATGCCTAATCAATAAAATCACTGAAATAACAGTTACAGCTCTGTTTTCAGCTAAACTAAGAAAAGCAGCATGAGTGTTACTCTTCAGCCCTGACAAAAAGTCTGATTTGTTAGATTATTTAAAGCTACAAATGTCTTCTGTTTCCAACATTTAAACTTTATTAAGGACAGTTTATTGTAACAACACATGTAGTTCCTGCTGCGGGGCAGCAACGACAGGCCAGGGCTCAGGGTTTCATTCCAGAAGAAGAGATCCAAAATGATGAGGTTATCCTTAAACAATCTGACTGCGTCCATGGAAAACAGTCCACTCTGATGATGGACTACTCTGATTCAGGTACACGGTTTCTCAATGTAGCGTTTTGGAATGAAAATCCTCAATTGCTCAAAAGTCAGTGCCAATAAAATGCCAAAAACTACATTAGATAAATATTTCATCATGATTTTTCTGGTTCTGTTTTTCCTCACATTGTCTCCACGGTGTTAACTGTGGAGAGACTTGAGCTCTTTGCATTACCAGGGCTTCATTACAACACTTTCAGAGAGGCGACAGTAGCGAAGCTCCACTCAGTGCTGGTGACTGTGGTTACAAAACAAAATGGCCGCCTGTCACCAGTTTGATGACCACAGACCACAGTTACTCGAAAACATTTCTGTTTTCTCAGAAAGACTCCAGCCTGGTGTGTCTGTTCTTATCTGGACAGGAGGGCCTCCTGGATGCTACACCCTGTCTTCTGTGAACAGTATGAGTGTTGTTAGTTTCAGCCCAGATACACACTGTTCTAGCTTTGTGTGGGACTCGGTACATTCGAGGTCATGATCACACCGGGAGCTCTTCAAAGTGTGCTGCATTCTGGGGAAGCTTCCCTTCTGGGTTGAGCTTTATCATCAAGTTTCCATACCAGTAGGTGGACATTGTTAAAAACGGTTGGCTCTCAAGTTCGAGCTCTTTTAGCTGTTTCTCCATATATTGGGCCTACGTGCACATACATGCTGCTGTTCTGTCAGCGTCGGACTCTGTCACCTGCGCTCAGTGCATCGTGCAGCAGGACAGCACAGGCTCGCTGAACATATAATGACTGAACAATGCGCTAGAATGAATCTTATTGTGACGTGTGCAGTCGCAGCACAGCCGCCCAGCGAGGAGGGAGGGGAGGGCAGGGTTAATGAAAATTCCCATTGGCTTTTTGTGGAGAGAACCAGGTGATGCTGACTTCTGGGTCAGCCTACAGCAGCACGTCAACCCTGTGGCACTCTGTGCTAGCGGCTTGGTCCAAAACACTCCCAGTGAAACCAGTCTGCTTTAAAGAGACGCTGTAGAGTGATCATGGCCTGCACTGACCTCTGTCAGTCCACCGTTGCCTTGTTTACTGATAAACAGCACAAACAGGAAGTCAGAGTCCTGAAAACTCACAAGCTAACTCTTCAATTACATGGGAAATTCGGGTAAACGAGATGTTGCCAGTTTGTGACTAATGTCCCAGTCACATCAACATAAATCAGTGAAACCTTAAAAACCTGAAGGTTTTCTTGTGAATGTTAAAAAGTGAAGCTCGTTATGTCTGAATAATGATCTCCTCTCTGAGTTTCTGTACTTCTGCCTTCCATGTAGTAAGAACTGAGAACATTTGATGGGATCGCCGTTATCAGGAACTTCAGACCTTTCTTCTGTTTATTTGGTCTTCTGGCATTTCACTTTTTCATGTTCCTCCTACAGTCTTTCCCATCAGAACACACAGTGGGCGGCTGTAGCGATTAAAAGTTTACAGCTTCGTGTGCTGCTCAGCGGACGGTGGTGGCTCAGCTGAGGCCTCCCGCCACGCTCTACAGGATGACTGTTTACTGATAAACAGGGCAAAGGTGAATTGCCACATTTCTAACTGCTCCCGTACCGAGACAAAGGAGAACAGCATGTATCAGGGTTACGTTTGTTATGATACCGCCACAGATCTGAAACATAAGGGCTGTTTCTCTGAAGCCTTCATGGCCTTGTCCTCTTCGTGCCTCTCTCCTGCTGATTAATGCCTCTGTCCTTTCTGACATTTCAGCTTCAACAGCAACAGAAATGTCCACTGTCTTGTATGTTTTCCTCTGGAAAGAGTTGGCAAGCTTCTGTTGAAATTCTTGTTTTATAGCTGTGTGTAAATGCTCCAGTGGTATGTGTGTGTGTGTGTGTGTGTGTGTGTGTGTGTGTGTGTGTGTGTGTGTAACTATTGTAAAGAAACTGTCTGACTGGAGGCTCACAACTCTGGGTGATGAGCAGAGTTGCCTACAGTGCGCTGCTGGTGTGTACATGAAGCAAGGCCCAGGTTACATCCAGTGACCAGGTAACTCATCGTTTTCCCACAGCCTCCCTATGTACGCTACACCAACGCTCATGACCTTTACAAGTTGAGTCTAACCCTGAGATCAGGATGGTGCAGGCTGTGGACACACCAGGTGTCCTCTATGTGTATGTAGATTATTTAAAAAAACAAATTAAATATCATACACCGCACTGCCTTTCTACTGGATTATGTCAATTTTCACCTTGTGCATAAAAACTGAGTGAAAATCACAAACAATTTTACTTCTTGTCTGAAATGAACAGGCTGGTTCACTGATAAAAGCAAAATGCGACAAAGTGCAATGGAAACTTTGCACAAGGCAGTGACCTGACACCCCCCCCTTCACGTTTCACCACCACAGAGACATTAGAGCTCCCAGTAAACAGTTGTCGAGATGCTTGTTGCTCTCTGCTGGGTCTTCATGCTGTGTCTCTGAAGCACAGGAGGTCCCACAGGAGTCTCTGCTAGTTGCTTGAAAACCTTGTGAAAATAAAACATCAGTGCCGCTGCTCTCGGCCAACAAACAGTCCCACTCATTCACTTTTTGCACAGATTGGTGAACTTTATACTGTCGGTGTTGCAGTGGGGATTTGTTTTGCTTTTCACTCGATGCAGACCTGAGCCTGCTCTTTCAGCTGTTTTCTAGTCTCCGTGCTAGGCTAAGCTAACCACCTCCCAGCTTCATTTTCATATCTATGGGAAGATTGATCCACATCTAACGCTCAGCAAAAAGTGAATAGGCCTGTTACCCAAAGTGTCAAACTGTGCTTTTGTCACAAGTGAACCTGACGTCCTATGTTTTATCTAGAAAACAACTTCTAGTACCATATTTCCATATTTTGGGTCTTCCCTCCAGATTCTTCAAGAATGTAGTATATACCACCAGTGGATGTTAGTTAATATCTGGTCGGAGGGGGCGCGGTGATCAGAGGGGCCATGGCCTGGTGGTCAGAGCGGGCCCGGTGGTTGAAGGGGGCACAGCCTGGTGGTCAGAGGGAGCGCGGTGGTCAGAGGGGGCGCGGTGATCAGAGGGGCCATGGCCTGGTGGTCAGAGCGGGCCCGGTGGTTGAAGGGGGCACAGCCTGGTGGTCAGAGGGGGCATGTCCCGGTGGTCGGAGGGAGTGCGGTGGTCAGAGGGGGTGTGCTCAGGCCACAGTGCCCTCCAGTAAAACACACTGTTCACTCACTAACTCCTCCGTTCTGGCCCTGGTCTGTGAAAAAGAAGGTGAACACACTGGTCACCTTCTTTTTGCTTCTTGTTGCTGTCAGCTCAGTATCGGTACGGCAGTAAGTAGGATGGGCTTCACTCTGGGCTCAGAGCTGTTCACCTCCAGTGTTGAAGTGTGTGTCTGTTTCTTCTGTGGCTTCACTTCTCTGCCGTCTGTGCTCTGATCAACCTGCCTGAAGTGCTCACAAGTGTTTAAAGATGTTTTTTCCTGCATCATGTTTAAATAAAGATATTTTAAAATCAACTTGGAGATGTGTTAAGTGTCTGTTTCTTACAATACAAAGTACATAAGTGAGAAAAATCATTAACATTATAGCTGTCACTTTTTCAAAAAAACAAAATCTGCATTTCAACAATAAAATCAGAATCGTTTCCAGAGCAACCAGTCTGTCACATTGTTATTCTGTTGTCAGAGCTAA